TGTCAGAGTAACTCTCCATCCTCTATATTTAAGATTCCACGTACTTGACGTGTCTAAAAGTTCATATATTTAAAATTCCAGAACTTTGTTTTTTTCTTCATTATATCTGACACGACAGTCGTCAACTTTATGATTTCACGATCACAAACGTCGGAGTATTCTCTGGAAATTATTCGGTAAAATTCAGACACACTTCGATCAGAATAAAAGAGCCAAGAGCGTTTTCTAAGCGCAATCGCGGTGGCTCTTTTATTGAGGAAGGCGTTAGAATCTATCGCGCGGACGTTTTCTCCTTTCGATAGGATCGAAATGTGTGTCGATCATTCACAGACTCGTCGACACCATTAACGCAAGTTCAACATCCTTCTGCGTCGATAATAAGAGGATCCGATCGATACCTCCGGATACTTTCTCCTCTCGGCGAATGAATTTCACCGAATCCGGCGAAAACACGCTTCCGAAAAGAAAAGGAACCAGGCCGACGAATTTTCGATCGGGAAGATTGTCAGAAAAACTCCTAAATTCTTACTTCTGTCGAGTATAATTCGTGAAATTTCACTCTATTTCGAAGGACATCGAAATTAAGTCAACAAGTTTGATTACCTTTAAAATTAGAATTAAACAATTAATAAATAATCAAAAAGACTGTCTCAAACAGTGCGTTTTTCTTTTATTTTTTTTATTTTAATTACACGATAATTACAAAGGGGGCCGGTAGAGTCTTTAAATCGACAATTTAAAAAGTTAATGCATAATTTTGCAAACGATCAAACGATCCGATCGGCCCACGTGTCGATTTTTTCCCCCTCCCTCACCGATTTACGAGTATCGGGAACTGGGTCAACGATGACGGCTACCTCTCTCTCTCCCGTACCCGAAACCGAAAGTTGATCTGGCAGAGAGAGAGGAAGGGACAGAGAGATTCTTTCTCCCCGGGTGTCCCTTATCGGGCCTTCATCTCCTTTTCCGATTCTTCCCAATCGAGGCGGAGAAAGCGGCCACCGCGAAACGAGGACGACTCATTTGAATGAGAGATACACGTCGTGCATCGCGGTCCACCGGTAGTTTTCCCTTCGTTCCGATCATCTTTGACACCTCCGAAAGTTGCCAGCCCTGGAAGGTGGGGCAACGACACCTCGAGGCATCGAGAATTCAGGATATGGGACCCTGAGAACATTCGTGTTTTCGTGAACCGTGTCAATGAAGAGTTTTTTTACGTTTGGTCTGTTTTCCTCAGATAAATCTGAGAAAAACTTGAAACAACTAGTCTATTTGTGTTTTTATACTTTACTCGAACGTATCAGAGGTAAAACTATCCAGGATTAAAACGTGAGATTTCCATCGAAGACATTGAAGAAAAAATACGCAACAACTTTATGATACGATGGAGTATTATAAATATGGAGACGCAATCTTAAATCTTTAAAACTAAATTGTTCGTTCTGATCACTTTGGTAATTCTAGTGTCAAAGATGAATGCAGTTACGTGCTTTTTCGGTGATAAACTTTTGGATTTTTGATCGTTTTTATATATACTAAGAATACGTCATGGATTTGCACTGTGAGAAAATCTGTATATACACGAGCCTTTATGCACTTGCAAGAAATTTTAAAGCGCGAAATAATAATATGTAATAAAAATTACATGTACAGAGTATGAAAAAATATATGCAATGTAAGAGTAATTTCTATGATATTTGATACACAAAGCAATTTTCCACGGAGGAAAAATTCATTAAGTTATTAATTTCATTAAATTCTTATTTTTAATTATTATTTCTTGAAAATCAAAGAAATGGATAATTGAAAAATTGTTTGAATAGTTCGGCAGATAGGGTTTCAGCCAGTAGAGGTCAGTGTTCATATTTGTAAATTCGATATTTTTTCGACTCGAATGGCAGTCATACTGAATCATCATCGTCACACTTGGCGTTAAAGTCCCGCTAAGTTCCGCAAAGCGAGGCACGTCGTGATGAATGCCACGAGACATTTGGCATATTTTTTGCTATGGAACAGTCGCTCCATCGAATACTCGATCGAACTTTTCAACAAACGTGTTCTTGTCGTAGATAAAAATTTAAAACGATTCTGTTTCCTTCTCTTTACAGCGTTGAAAGATATTTGAACAGAAATTCCGACGCTGTTAAGTATACTCTATCGATAAATCGTCAATTAACAAAACTGTGAAAACCGATTCTCGTCGAAAGGATAACGAAACTATTTAGTTTCGCCAATTTTCCAGTGCGATTTTCAGTGCGAGATACACTGAAGAATGCGAGCATGAAACGCACGCATCAAATCAAGGGCCAAAAATATCTTCTTTCGTTGCTGGGACCATTGGAAAAATGGCAATCCTCGCAAAGCTACGCAACAAGTTTCGTTTCCACGGTTCTTATTTGAACTTGAATCGTGATCACTGTGCGTAGTAGCTATAATAAACGTCGATGAAGATGTCACGTGTGCCTAAAACGTGTAATTTCTATCGCTACCAGCACCGTAATTCGAGATAATAGTGTGCAATTAAGAATGCATTTGCACTTAGTCTCTCCACTGGTTGTGGAAATGTAATAGTTGAACCGTACGTCATGATTCTTAGACTACGTGAAAACGGCCAGATAACGAAAACTCGCGCGTTTCGTTTGTAATTACAACGAACTGATGAAGCAGAATCCGATGACTTTTTTTAAATTCTGAATACTGTAATATAATGCAAAACTTTTGTTAGTGTAACAATTCTGGATGTCAAAACGTAAAAAAGAAAATCTCTTCGATTGTGTTACAATCTGTCTGTCAGTAGTACGATTCGGATTTGATCTGTCATAACTCAAGACTAGTTCTTTTTATGCAGGATTAATTGGACGCACACACGCACGCACACACGTTTTATAAAAAAAAACAATAAATATTTATTTATACAAGTAAAAAACAACATAAAAGTAACATTATTGTACAATCTGCGCACCGTGACGGTGGGACAGGCGAATAAGTTAATCATAGATTAGTCTCGATAAATAGAGTCCCAACGAGAGGAAGAGAGATATGCAGACATGTAGCAGTCGATTTTCGTACGTCGATAGTTATCCGTGTCAATGGGAGCGTCTCGTTCGTCCGTCGGTTATCTCCGATCGTGATTCGACTCGCGTAACAGCTCGTGAGAATGCGACTCCACGACCACCAACGGAACTATCGTCTAGTTCGTCGCCACGAGTCAATGAATCAACAAACTCACGCGAACTGTGTCATCGTGTCATCATCCGGAGCAGTCAGAGGCTCTTCGTTCGAGGTTCAATTTGTCTACGTCCGTCTACAATGGAGAAACAAGGATCGTCACTGTGAAACAACAAAGAGCGAAAGAAAGAAGTAGGTCGAAGAAACCAAGGATCAGATATAGCGGATGAGGAGTAGAAAACCGCGAAAGAAGATACGAAGAGGTACGAGGAGGGAGGAAGAATCAGGTAGAGAGGGATCAGACGTTAAATTTAAAACGGCAAGAGAGAGTGCTGGCAAGAATCGGTGGACCTGATTGAAGTTGTAATAGACGACAGATGGGTCAGGTGCCACGAATTCGAATCCACGGGCCCGACACCTCGACTCACTTCGCGTGCGCCGAGTACGCCAGATCGTGAGCATCTGCCTGCCCGGAGATCGGACCTTGGCCGTGGAAACTTCTGGCCCAACCGCTGGAATAGCTGTCCCCGTGCGCGTGATCCGAAATGTGACTGGAACTGTGATGAGGGTGGGCAACCACCTCGTACGTCACGTGCTTCTGCTGCGAGAACAGTTTCTTCAGGCCGATTATACCGGCCAGCAGGAGAGCGATCTTGGAGAGAAGCAACGCCTTGCCGACGAGCAACGCGAGCGCCTTGAACGCCAAACCACCGATCAGGCCGATCTTCAACACCGCCGCAGCGATCAACGGGCCCATGTTGTTGTTCTTCTTGCCACGACCTGAAAATCAGACGTCGGATGAGCCGCCGATGTCGCTTTCGTCGAAGGAAGGTAAAACGTTTCGGACTTTCTCGTGGCAGTAAAATCTGACGATGCGTGACTGGATCGTTAGAACTCTGTTTGAACGTAATCGGAAAATGGGGAGTAAAAGTTAAGACGGATGGTACAGATGTCAAGTGTGAGAATCTCGTTCGTGGAATCTTGAAAGGAAGAAGAGAGTTTCTTTCTCAGGACAGAAGTATGTTCTGAAAGAGTACGGATTTTGACGACACTGAAGTTGCACAAAATAGGGAGGAATTTTTGGATTGATCCAATTCGTCGAAACAATTCAATATAAAGAAAGAAAAGGAATATCAACGAACGTAATTATACGCATTTCAAATGTTTTGGAAAAAATATATTCCCTTCCTTTTAAATTTCACATTTCGAGCATTTTATTATCTACAAGCATCTTACCATCTTGGACTGGAACATTGTCCGCCCTCTCGATAGACAAGCCAAGATTCAACGATCCGTTCTCGTCCTCCGAGGCAGAAACAACTACGTCATCCTCCGGCAGAATCCTCCATTTGATACTTCTAGATTTGACGAACGCGTACACCTTGTTCGCGACAAGGTCGAGGACCTCGGACTCGTCGTCGTTGCTTCTGCCAGCCTCGAACGTGATCACCTCCTCGGACGCTTGGCTGGTTTTTCTGATCTCGATGTCGTCGGTCAGCTCGATCGACGCCTTCTTCAGTAGCTTGTTCATATAGGTGACCAACTTCAGCATCACGCAGCTGCTGATGTCGTTCTGCGAGCATTTAGAGTTGAGCTTGCGAAGCAGCTCCTCCTCGTACTTGGCCCGATCCGTTAGCGTCACAGACTGCTGCTCGAGGACGCTGATCTCGTCGAGCTTCTCCAACGGAGTCGCCAGGCACGTGGCCAGCCACGAGATCGACAGGAACAACAGAACAGTCTTCATCTTGACTTACTCTTCTGTAAAGGTGGAGTTTAGTTATTCTAAACTTGAGTTTGGTAGAATTTATTTTTTCTGAACTTTTTGCCTGTTGAGAAACCGTCGAATGTCAAAATGAAACAACTGACATCAGAATATTTGCGAGAGCTTGAAAAAATCTTCACAGAACCCCAATAAGGGGTGTCTCCAATAATTAAATCTAGCTACTCAGTTAAAAAAGAGAGAGAAAAGGAAGAAAGAAGATATCTAGGGAACAAAGGTACCCACCTTCAAATTTAATTTCCGAAAATTAATCCGGAGAACGGAAACTGGATGTCGAGGGCACGCTACCGAGAGACGGCGCCTCCTGCCTGTCCCTTGGATCCCTGGGAGCCGGAGCTTATCGCTGGTCAAAGGCGTCCCTTGGCCGCGTTTTGCGCGTAGTGGTGCCACCCGATGCGTGGATCGAGCGTAGCGAGTATTCTGAACCCGTCGTCTCGCCCCGGCCAGTTTATATACGTAGACCAGAGGCCGAAGAGGTTGCGTACGCGAAAACGTGCTACACCCTCCTACGGGAGGCGCGGAAACCGGCAGCGCGCACACGGGGGCGGGTGGTGCCCACTTTTGCCTTTGATATATACAAGCTGGCTGGCTGACTGGTCGGTCGGTTAGCCGGTGGTGGGATCCATCGTACGCGAGCTGCCTCCTTCCTTCTCGATCGCGGCTCGATCTCGCTGAAAACAGCACCGACCCGGAGGAGATGCCAAGGTGCGAGGACTCTGCTTATCCACAAACTGGTTCCCCCTTTGTCGGACATCTTCGGATACACCGGATCGACGGAGATCGACCGGCGTCCGGCCGTTTGTTGCCGTTTTACGTACACAAACGCGCGGATTCCTGGGACACGCTGGGGACCGCAGCAACGACCCACCGCGAGAACCGTGTCACGGATGTGGAGCACGCACGCCAGCGACCGAACGAGTGGCCGTTTGCCTGGACGCCAACAACTGCCACAACCGTCGCTGCCGATAACGCTTTGCTCGTAACCATCGATGCTTCTGCTCGTGGTTGATGATAACGATGTTTAAGACTCGATCGCGACGTTTGGAATTTCAGTTGATGATAGAGCGTGCATCAAATAACACGTGCGTACACGTCCTTGATATTATGCGTACGAAGTCTTTCAGTTTGGTATAATTTTTTGTAATTGTACAGCTTCTTTAGTATAAATCTATTACAGTTCAGGGATAATCCTTTGAATATTGCTTGTGGACGATTTTTTATGTGCGTCAGATATTCTTCACTTGACGAAGATATTTTTGTTCCTGT